CCATGAGCCCATGGCTGCTACAAGCAGCTTGTTTCAACTATGTTGCTACAAAGTGACAAAGAGACTAAAACCCTTCTATAGCTATACCACCCTGGTGTATCTATAGAATGCACGTGGTCTGGGAAGCTAAGGAGGACTGGGCTGGTAGTACCTGGATGGGAAACCACCTGGAAATACCCAGTGCAGTGGGCCTTCGCCCTGCAGCATTTGGCCCTGACCCTCCAGCCCACACTCTGGCACTGACTGCCCCTCTGCCCCTCTGCCCAGTGTACCCATTCCCACCCCTCCCCTTCCAGCTCTGGCCATTCCTGAAAGTTGCCAGGGGGGCTCAGCGCCTTGGGGTAGGGGCTGAATTCACCATTGCTTGCCCAGCTGCTTCATGTTCCTCCAACCTATCCCCTTTCCTGGTTACAGGGAATAGGGACCACACAGCCCTCGGCCCCTACCTGACTCAGAGGGTGGGCATTTCATAGGTACTGCTGCCTGCTTATAGGACAGCAAGCCTGGGACCAGCATAAAGACTCCAAGTTGAAGGGCAAGCTCCAGGAAGGTGAGAGATAAAAAGGGAGGAGCAGAAAGAAACTGATGCAAAGGGGAACTCTAAGCCAGCCAGGCCCTCCAGGGAGCAGGAGATAAAATGAGATGGGATGATGTCAGGGACTGGCTGGCTGTAGCGGAAGACAAGACAGGAAGAAAAGTTACTCGCCTTCTCTATCCTACCACCTGCACATGGCACTCGGGTGGTCACCGTCACAGTGCCTGGGAGAGGGTCACACAGTGACAGGGGCAGAAAATGAAGGCAGCTGTGAGCAGAAGGTGACCATTTCCCTGGTCCCAGAAAGGTTAGAGGTGCTGGAGCAGAGGGGCCACAGCCAACAAGTGCAGGAGACTCGGCTCAGAAATAACAGGTGTTAATCTGCCACGCTGCTCTGCATGTCATCTGCATGTCTGCCTGGCGCTGGTCGAGGTGTCCGATTTGGGGTGTGCCATGTGGCCTGACCTGGGAGCAGGCCTAATCCAGTAAGCTTCCCAGATCCAGAAGGCTGCTCCGAGCCCCACACTGTGAGCCCACCAGGGAAGTGACTGGTGGCATCTGGCTGGTGGAGGAAAAGACCTGGGCTCCTGGTGCCACTGGCAGCCAGCTAGGAGCTGCAGACAGGACGGGAGGGTAAAGAGAGACGGTTAGGGCCAGACCCTTAGGGAAGCTGAGACGACAGGAGGTAAGCAGCCAGGAACGACAAGGCTTGAGTCAGCTGGGTGGCCTGTCCCTGCTGCTTGGCCTCCAGTGGCCCTGCCCACACACCAGGAGTGAGCTCAGAGCTATCTATACCCCGCAGTTGGACAGTGAGCTCTGCACAGAGCCCCTTCCATCCAAGGCCTGGCCTTGGCTCCCCTGGGGGCAGTGGTAAGAGGAGCTGGGATGAGGATAAGCCAGACTGGGGATCCTGGCAGGGCCTCACCTCCCAAGGCCAGGTGCTCCAAGGGCCGCATGAGTCATTAGCTCCACCCTGCAGCCCCCAGTGCCCCAGGCCCCAGGCTGGACGGAGCCTGACGCACCTGAGCCAGGGCCAGCCAGAGGTGGAGCGCAGGGGAGATGCTCAAGGTCACTCAGGGTCCAGCACAGCACCAGGCTCATTGGTGGGTGGGATGGTGGGGGACTGACACTATCCAAGATTTCTGAAGACCCTTAGCTACATCTGGAAGCAGAAATGGTAATTCCTCCCTCCCTGGAAGGAATTTTTTCTTTTTTTAAGATTAATATATACTTATTTGAAAGGCAAAACTACAGAGAGAGAAAGAGAGGTTTTCTATCTTCTGGTTACTCTCCAATGATCAAAATGGCTAGGCCTGGGTCAGGCTCAATCCAGGAACCAGCAGCTTCACATAGGTCTCTCATGTGGGTCTCAGGGGTCCAAGCTCTTAGGCTATCTTCCTCTGCCTTCACAGGTACACTAGCAGGGAGCCGGAGTAGAAGCAGAGCAGCCAGCACTCGAAGAGGCGGTTCAACCTGCTGCGCCACAACGCAGGCCTCCCAGGCAGGATCCTCGACAAGGCTGAGGGGTAAAAGAGGCCTAAGACCCACAGCAGCTCCGGAGCCATCTCAAGCATCACCAAGAGGCTCTCGCCTCTGCCCCTGCAAGTTCCCTCCTCCCAGGCCCTGCTTATGTGCTTCCCCCACCTCCTGCAACACTATCTCCCAGCACAAGGGCAAGACAATGGCATCCGGGGACTCAAATATGGCCAGAACCATGATCACCCTACCTGCCCAACTCAGTGTCTCCCCTCCTGCCAGACACACAATCCTGTGCTCCTCCAAGCCCAGTGTGGACACAAGGCACAGGTGACCCCCAGCATCGTAAAGTGGGGATAGAAACATACCCATCTTTGGGGTCAGCACTTCAGCACAGCAGGTTAAATCCCCACCTGTAACACTGGCATCCCCTCTCAGCACTGCTTCAAGTGTTTGACTGACTCCTTAACATCCGTATGGGAGACTGAAATACAGTTCTAGGCTCTTGGATTCAGCCAAGACCAGCCTCAGCCACCGTGGCCTTGAGTATATGACGCAAAGTAAAAATGTCAGTCACAGAAAGACAAACATTGCACAATTCTACTTAAATGAAGTACCACGGTTAGTCACCCCTGACAGAGGCACAAGGTAGACTGGTGGCCGATGGGCTGGGGTGGAAGTGAGAACAGGGACTTACCGTTCAGGGGACCGAGTTCCACTTTGGGATAAAGAACAAGATCAGAAGACGGACTTGGAATAGAAAGAACTTTAGAAAGATAAATTCAATGCAGAAAATTCTGAAATCCATGCAGACAGGGAATTTTCAAAGAATACATAAAAAAAAACACATATTCACAGATTTTAAAACTGGCCATCAAAATAAGCTTTTATTTTTTAAAGTTTTATTCATTTTTAATTGGAAAGTCAGATGTACAGAGAGGGGGAGAGACAGAGAGGGAGATCTTCTGAAGATTTACTCCCCAAGTGACTGCAATGGCCGGAGCTGCGCCAATCCGAAGCCAGGAGCCAGGAGCTCTTCTGAATCTCTCACGCAGGTGCAGAGTCCCAAGGCTTTGGGCTGTCCTCGACTGCTTTCCCAGGCCACAAGCAGGGAGCTGGATGGGAAGCGGGGTTGCCAGGATTAGAACTGGTGCCCAAATGGGATCCTGGCGCGCTCAAGGTGAGGACTTTAGCAGCTAGGCCACCACGCCGGGCCCCAAAATAAGTTTTTAAGATTTTATTAGCCCTGGCATGATGGTTCAATGGCCACTTCCTCACCTTGCACATGCCAGAATCCCATATGGACAACGGTTCATGTCCTTGATGCTCCACTTCTCATCCAGCTCCCTGCTTGTGGCCTAGGAAAGCAGTAGAGGATGGCTCAAAGCCTTCAGACATTGTATCTGTGTGAGAGACCCGGAAGAAGCTCCTGGCTCCTGGCTTCAGACTGGCTCAGCTCCAGCTATTATGGCCACTTGGGGAGTGAACAAGCAGATGGAAGACTTTCTCTCTGTAAATCTACCTTTCCAATAAAAATAAATAAATCTTTAAAAAAAAAAAAAAGTAGACATTGTATCTATATGAAAGACAGAGTGACAGAAGGACAGGAGAGAATAAGTTCTTCCAGCCCACTCATTCATTCCTCAAACGGCCACAATGAAGCCAGAAGCCCGGACTCCAGCTGCGTCTGGCACACCGGTGGTAGGGACCCAAGCACCTGGGCCATCTTCCTGTTTTCCCAGGTGCAGCAGCAGGGAGCTGGATCAGAAGCAGGGCAGCTAGGACTGGAACCAGTGCTGTGATATCATATACCAGTGTCACAGGCAGCCCCATTAATGCACTGTGCCATAAGACCAGCCCAATAAACTTTTTTTCATTCCATTTTTCATAAAAATCAAAATCATCATACTTCATGTCACTATATTGTTAACTTACAAAATGAATTGTCGTCAGGGGCTAATACAACAGCTCAATTGACTAAACCTTTACTTAGAAGCGTCAGTTCAGTATCCCACATGAATGCTGGTTCATGCCCTGGCTGCTCCACTTCACATCCAGCTCCCTGCTTGTGACCTAGGAAAGCAGTCAAGGATGGCTCAAAGTCTTGAGCCTCTGCACCTGCATGGGAGACCAAAAGAGGTTCCTGATTCCAGATCAGGTCAGCTCTGGCCATTGTGGCCATTTGGGGAGTGAACCAATGGACGGAAGATCCTTCTGTCTCTCGTGTCTTTAAAAAAATTTTATGGTTGAAAAAGTCAGTCTTATGTCATAGACATTTCATGTCTCCCTTCCAAAACCCAAAACAAGTAGCCAGAGCCCCCAGCCCACAGGAGTGCTTTCTCAAATACCTGCTGATTCCAGCAAGCTCTGGCATTTCCACACAGCCTGCTGCTACACACCTGCAGGGCCCTCAGTTCTCACGTTTCCCTGAGAGCCACTGGCACACGTGTGGAGATCACCTGTCCCTTAAATGTCCAACACACACACACACACGATGGCTTCCCACCCAGAACAGCAATGCAGCCAAGCCTCAGTCCTCAAGGTGGCTTCCCACTAACTAAGTGGGGACCACCATCTGGTCCAGCTGGTTGCACGCTGCTTCCACGGCCCAGGTAATGATGGATCCCCATCCCCCTCAGCCCCATACAGTAAGCAGGGTCTAGATGAGCTCCAGAACTTTCAATTTACATGCAGAAGTTTTACTGCAGGGAAGAGTGAGTGAAGAAGGGAGGAAGGAAAGAAGGAACCCCATGTCCTCACTTCCTTTCATGGTCAAGCCATGTGTTGTGAATGGCTTTTAGATTATCCCCGGGGCGAGATTCTGCTCCGTTTTCCAAGTTTCCCACCATCACAGCTTCTTACTGGAAGACAGCAAGACCCACCTCGTGGATGCCCCTCTATTCCCTGGAGGAATCCAAAGTTGACATGTCCACCCCACCCAGCGCCCATCTCAGCTCTGCTAGCAGGGCTGGACCACAAAACTCCTTACCATACATCTTGCCCTCGTCCGACAGGATGATCTTGCGCCGGCCACAGGGCGGGTAGATGGCCAGGGCCTCCTGAAAGCTCTGCTCGATGTCTGGGCTCCACACTCCCTCGGCATCATTGTCGATGGGCTTGTCCAGTGCCTGGCTGCCCCCAGAGATGTTGCTCCCCTCGGGGGAGTTAGGAGAACTCCACTCGTTGGAGGTAATGGTGCCGGCCTTGCCCTCCAAGGCTCGGCTTGGAGGAGCGCCCGTTGGACCTGCTGGGACAGGAAGCTGCATATTGGTGAGGGGTCAGAGCTGGGTAGGCCCAGGATGCGTGCAGGGACTCAAACCAGTTTCTCTGAGGAGCAGGAGAACTGGGCTTGAAAGGTCATTTCAACCCCCTGCAGGTCTCACTGTCCCTCCTGTCAACTGAACATACAGACTGAGCCACTCTCCTAAGATGCTCTAAGAACCCATGTGAAGGCCAAGAAGTAGGAGACAAGGACCAAGTACAGAAGGGATCCTGATGCTGAACTCACACCAAGCAAACAGCACACTTCAAAAAGTTGGTGAGGGGCCAGCACTGCAGCCTAGCAGCTAAAGTCCTCACTTTGCACACACCAGGATTATACGTGAGTGCCAGTTCTAATCACAGCTGCCTTGCTTCCCTTCCAGCTCCCTGCTTGTGGCCTGGGAAAGCAGTAGAGGACGGCCCAAACTATTGGGACCCTGCACCCACGTGGGAGAGACCCAGAAGATGTTCCTGTCTCCTCATTTCAGATTGGCTCAGCTCCGATCATCAGATGGAAGATCTTTCTCTCTGTCTCTCCTCCTCTCTGCATATCTGACTTTCATATATATATATATTTAAGTTGGTGCAAAATGGATTAAAGGCACACATTTATTTTGGGGGCAAAACAGGCCTGGGAAAACAGTATAGAATGGCCCAAAGCTTTGGGATGCCGCACTCGCATGGGAGACCCAGAAGATGCTCCTAGCTCTGCTTCAGCTCAACTCAGCTGGGTCATTTGGGCAATGAACCAGCAGATGAAAGGTCTCTATCTCCCCTTCTCTCTGTGTAATTCTGCCTTTCAGATAAAAATAAAATAAATTTTTTTTTTTAAACTCAGTAACACGCCAGCTGAGTGTAGCATACTGGATGCCCACACCCCATATCGGGCCTCCTGGGTTTGCATCCTGCCTCCACTTCCAACCTGTCTTCCTGCTGTGTACCTTGGAAGGCAACAAGTAATGGCTCAGGGTCTTGGGTCTCCGTCACTCACATGGGAGACCAGGATGGAGTTCTTGGCTCCTGGCTTCAGCCTGACATAGTTGCAGCTGTTCAAAGCAGTTGGGGAGTAGACCAGTAGATGGGAAATCTGCCTTTCTAGTCACTTGGCCTTTCAAATAAATAAACAAATAAAAACTTTAAAAAAAGAAAAAACCTGTTGACTAATGTAATTTGACGGAGTAAGACATATACACATGAACAAAGAATGTGCTTCTGAACCACAAATTAAGAAACTACATTTCACAAAATTCAAAATCCATCCAATAGTAACAACTAATTTTTAGGGGTTCCTAGCTCCTGGCTTCAGATCTGCCCGGTTCCAGCCATTGCAGCCACTTGGGGAGTGAGTAAGCAAATGGAAGATTTTTTTTCTGTCTTTCCTTCCCTCTGCAAATTTACCTTTCGAATGAAAAAACCAGCCCTTAGATAACAGCCTTCTAAATAATATTTCATTTAGAAACCAGAACCATAATTTAATTTTAATAAGATGCATCACTGTAACTATCTAGCTGTAACTTTTGCCAAAGACACAGAACACCTACATAAATGTAGAGCAACTACTGGCAAACAAGGATATAACATCATAAAAACACTGAATTTCTTCAAAGAAATATTTATTTATTTATTTATTTATTTATTTTTATTGAAAAGTCAAATTTATAGAGAAGAAAAGACAGAGAAAGATCTTCAATCCACTGGTTCACTCCCCGAGTAGCTATAATGGCTGATCTGAAACGAGGAGTCAGGAGCCTCCTCCGGGTTTCCCAGGCAGCTGCAGATCCCAAGGCTTTGGGCCATCCTTGACTGCTTTTTCATGCCACAAGCAGGGAGCTGGAAGGGAAATGCAGTAGCAGGAATACAAACTGGTACTGTTTTTCTTACATATATCATTTTATGACACAGTTTCATAGGCTCTGGGATTCCCTCAGCCCCTCCCCAAATCCTCCCCCCTTACTGAATTCCTCCATATCGTTACAGTAGTACAGTTCATAACCAGTCATGATTCCTTCATTACGGGCATGGACCATGCGGGCAGTCCAGCATCTTATTGTCCGGATAAATTCAACAGTTTCACTGGGAGACCATCCTTGACAAACCGGCACCCTTACAGGATCCTGGCACATGCAAGGCAAAGATTTTAGCTGCAAGTGCTTTTTGCACCAAGGCCCAAATAAATTTTAAATTCAAAGAAATTGTGCTAAATCTCTCAAGGTTTTCCAGAAAACTTCAGCTGATTCTGAGAATAAATGGAATACTTAAAATGACTCTAGAGTTTTCCAAGGCATTGGTTCGCCGTCCCTTTCTTCTCTCTGTCTCCCTTCCCACAGCGGTTCTCCTCACGGTTCTGTCCTCTCCTGCCTTACACCCTACTCAGACTCGGGATACCGACCATGACTTCCATCTCCTCCACACGCATGATTCTTCAGTGGATTTTCTCAGCTGCTGTCCACCAGGCATCTCCAAAGCTCCTCCACTCAATATTCCCAAACCCAAATTCTCAGCTTGCTTGGGAGGCCTGCCCCTCCTCTCAGGGAATGAACCACCATCCCGCTCCGACCGGTCCCCCACCAGAGACCAGAAGCCTAGAACACGTTTGGGTTTTTCCCTCTTATCTCCCATATCCATTTTAGGACCACATCCTGTCTTTCTGTCCCCTAAATCTGCTTCAGTATCTCACAGTCCTTATCCACACTTCCACCAAGGCATTCCTAGAGGAGCCCTGTTCACACTCCGTAATCTCCCTTCAACACAGCAAGGGGAGTCTGCCAAAATACAAACCTGATCGTGACTCCTCTACTTAAAATCCTCCGATGATCTTTCCATTCTCTTTAAAGATAAAACCACATAGGGGCCAGCATCGTGGCCTAGTGGGTTAAGACATCAGTTCAAGTCCCAGCTGTTCTGCTTCCCATCCAGCTCCTTGCTATGGCCCCAAGGAGAGCAGCACAAGGTGGCCCAAGTACTTGGGAGGAGACCCAGATAGAGCCTCAGGCTCCTGGCATCAGTCTGGTCCAGTCCAGACATTTCAGCCATTTAGGAAGTGAATTCGTGGATGAAAGATCTCTTTCTGTCTCTCCTCCGTCACTCTGCCTTTGAAAATAATCAACAGACCATTGTTCCACAACGGGAAAGTTCCTTCATCAGTTGACTTCTGCTCTCCTGCCAGAACGTCCAACTACCGGCCCCACTCAGTGTCCCCCGAAACCATCCCACTGACACAGCAAGCTCTGATCTGATCTGTTATCGCCGATAAAGCACAGGCGAACCTTACTTGCTCTGGAACACGCTCCAAGCCTGGATCAGGTGCCTTTCAAACAACATCAATAGACCCTCAACTGTCTTTATCCCAGCCCGTCTCCTCCACACTTCTGATACCCCAAGGAAAGAGACAGGTTGTTCCCTAAGTTCTCAGCATTCAGCGTGGTGCAGGGAAACGAATGAATAGATGGTAAGTGTCCTGTGGAATGATGATCACTCTGCTTGGAACTCAGCTTTAAGAAATACACAGAGCTGGCCAAGTTCTCAGCTTCCTGCACTGGCATCCCGTAGAGAGGCCAGTTCTAGTCCTGGTTGCTCCATTTCCCATCCTATTCCTTGCTAATGGCCCAGGAAAGCAGTGAAAAATGGCACAAGGCCTTGGGTTCCTACACCTGCATGGAGACCTGGAATACACTCCTAGATCCCAGCTTCAGATCGGCCGAGCTCTGGCCACTGTGGCCACTTGGGAGCGAGTTGGCAGAGAGAAGATTCTCTCTTTCTCTCTGTGTGTAACTCTTTCAAGCAAAACATAAATTAATTAACAAATATCTGGATTTGGGTATTCCCGAGACATAGCCTGAATTACATGTAAGCCCCCTGGGGATTTTATCCAGGGCACTTATAACCTGAAAATGGGATGGATGGGAATTCAGAGACTGGCATGGGTTCCCGTTCTAAGGTCTATCAGGTGGCCACAGAACAATGACTTCACTTCCCTAGGCCTTCGTGTGCTCACCTGTAGAACTAAGGAGCTGCTCTCACTGGCCATCTGTGGTCTTTCCAATGCTGGCAATATCGGCAATTACATTTCCCACCTAACCTATCCACTTTCTCACTGGCCCTGCAGCACCATGCAGTCTTCCACCTGTGGCTTTGGCCCACTGAGGACTGGGGAATGGATCCATCTCAAACAGAAGTCCCACATGATAGCCACTGAGATCAGATGTTACCTTGTATATGGCCTGACAACTTGCTAAGAGTGATTCATTTGTACTTAGTTTTATTTGAGAGACACAAAGAAGGAAGGGTTTCTTCTGTCATTTCACTTTCCTAAATGGCCACAACCACTGGGGTTAGGCCACCAGGCCAGGCCCATTTACTCTGTCACATTGGTGACAGGGGTGCAGGTACGTGGGGCCATAACCTCCCAGGGTATGCATTTGCAGGAAGCTGGAATTGGAAGCAGAATCCAGAATTGAATTGAATCCTGGCACTCACTCCAATGTAGAATGCAGGTGTCCAAGTGATTTCTTATTTTGTACCAAATCCCTACCTACCCCACTAAGACCTGTTTATGGTCATCATTATTAAGCTACAAAGCATACCTCACTGGGAAGTTCTAAAGCCCCCAACAGGCCTGAGAGACACACATACTAGATTCCTTAATGCCTATATTAACTACTAGTGCCATCAATGCAGATGGCCTAATGCACCCCGGTTTTTGCCTGCCTGGCCCCTTGGACCTGACACTAAACCCAGGAGAAGGGTGATACCGAGGCCAGGGTGCCAGCAAAGAGGGGCGGCTCAACCTCCCTGAAGCCAGCAGCCACCCCTGAGGGCCTGAGGCTGTGGTTTCCTAACCCTTCCCTGAGGGGAGCTAGACTGGTCCTCTGACGTGAGTCCAGCCTCTCCCTGCCCAGGGCCACCCAGCAGATCACCAGACCTAGGGAGAAGCAAGGTCTCCTCACGCCAGACTCCCCCGCGAGTGAGGTTTTCTGAGGACCTGCAGCACTCCGTGTCCCCAAGA